GCACACGCCTGCCCGTCTCAGGCAGGTTCGCTGCCTTCTTCCTGTCAAGCAAATCAGATCATGATACGGTTAGAGATCAATTGGTACTTGGACTTCACGGTTACGAAATGCAGGAGATTGGAAAAAAGGTAAGTTTTATTTCTTGTTTATCTATGGATTGGGCTTATTCTAGTATTTTAGGCTAGGACAGAAAAACGATTATTAATATTATTTTTACATGTCAATCATGCTAGGATAGGGGCCAGGTAGGGCCTAGTCCCTGCCTGTTCCTAGGCCTCCTTGACCCGGTGGTAGAATGGTAGGCTCATAGTAGGCCTACCACCATCATCAGACATGATCAATGAAGTCCCGGCCCATGTTTGTGCCTTTCATACGGCTTTTTCGTGTAATTTCAGGGGCGGATTAGCCTAGTAGCATCCATGCTTTATCATTATTCCGTTGACCCCTCCTTTTGGGAGGGGGATAAAAAAAAGAAAAAAAGAAAGAAAAGAAAAAAATAATACTATAGCCCACAAAGCCTCAAATGTTATTTTCGGGCGTCAGAACACACAAATTTCGCGGGGGCATGCCTGGACCCCTAGGACATTGTTGTCTCGATCGGCCCAAATTTCGGCCCCTCCCCCCCCTTTTGGCCCCCGCTTTTGGACATCTCTGGATCTGCACCTGAATTTCTTTTATTTTTGTGTAATTTAATATAATTAAGGCTAAAACGTTAATACATAGGCCTATTCTATGGCAATAACATTATCATTATTGAAAAGGCCTGTCCGATAAGGGAAAATTGGACAGAACGGCAAAAAACCAAAACGGCAATAAGTCAAAACGGCAATGAGCAAAACGGCAAAAAACCAAAACAGCAACACTTTTCAACCAGAACGGCATGATAAGTCAAAACGGCAATGTCAAAACGGCAAGACCAAAATGGCATAGGCCAAGTCAAAACGGCAATAAACCAAAATGGCATCACTTCCAGAATGACATAGCCTAGGCCTACTGGGTTCCGGGTCGTTTTTTTTAAGAAGTAAAACTTAATTCCTAAAACCAATTATAAACATGAAAGTGTAGGCTACAATGATAAATACAGTGATTATATACATATTCAATATTAAAAAGATTGGGATCACAATATAAAAGCAGTAAACATTTAAAATTTAATTATAACTTTGAAATACAGACAAAATGAGGCTAAACAATTTAAATCAAAAGTAAAAAAGCGCGAAAGCAAAATAAAACACTAGAAAGAATAATGATAGGGGGCCTATTAATAATAACATACAATACAATTCAATAGTAAAAAGACTGCTATAAAAGCAGTGAACATTTAAATAATTAAAACCTTAAAATACAGATAAAATGAGGCTAAACAATATTATGCCATGAAAGAAAAAACGGAAAAAAAAAAAAATAATAATAATAATAATAATAATAAACAACACTTTAATATAATATAAGCCTAGTCATGGATGTGTAAAAAAAAAAAACATGACTCAGAAAATTATAAACTGCTGCCCGCGCCCGGTGACGCTTCATTCAATTGGCATTTTTGCTCCTTTGCCGTTTTGGTCTATGCCTATTGCCATTTTGGTCTATTGCCGTTTTGGTACTTATTTTTGCCGTTTTGGTTTATTGCCGTTTTGACCTGCTCCCAAAATTCCCCTTCCCCCACTGGCGCTGCCCCTGCCGAGTTGGTAAAGCCTAAAGGGCAGAGTTGGCAAGGGCCGAGTTGGTGTATGTGTTGAATTGTACCCAAATAATCTTGTTTTTTTTGCCAGGCATACCATTGTCCATGATGTGGCCTGTGCAAGTATTGGAATGGCCACCATTGCCGTCATCGGTACAAGTTTTCTGTCATGCAGATGATGCAGAGTAAGTGTTGTTTCTTTTATTTTTTAAAATGTGCCTTTTACAATTTGTTAAAGACTGATAAGTCCATGAAGCGACTACTTTCACATTTATAATTACTAGGGTCCTGTTTATAATTATTCCACAATGTCTTATCGAATGAGTCAAATGGCCGAGCGGTTAGCAGGGACGCACGCTCGCCTATGGTTCCGGTGGTAGAACAAGTCTTCTCGGATAAGGACTATAAACCGGCCCAGTGTATACAATGGCTTGTGTGCACTATAAAGAACCCAGTACATCCTTCGAGACGAGTAGGGGGTTACCCCGGTGTACTGGAACAGACAGCCCCAGTGGTGGACGACGAGAGTTGCTGGTACCGGGTTACCGGGTAGCACAGACACGAAGGGACCCTTAGGGCGAAGAAAGTCATTGGTCGAGTTTCTAGTCCACATTTCAAGCGCCCCGAGAATCTTACATTAGATGGATATGTGCGCTATCACTATTATTATTATTATTATTATTATTATTATTATTATTATCATCTAAACCATCCACAGTGTCTGTTTAATAATGGCAACTGAAAGGTACTTTATAGACAATCCTGCCATGGTCAATCATATGTTTACAGAACTATGATAAATAATAAACAAAATAAATATGGTAACCCTATGTACCCGGGTGCAAAAATAAAAAAACTATTAACTGTTTAAATTTAATTCATTTCTCAAGCTACATCAATTTATAATTAATGTATCAGTATTATATATCAGGGAATTTGCATTCCAGGGAGACTTTAATGATTTTAGGTGTAAAAGGCATTCTTGTAGTACTGTGAACACAGCCTGATACAATACTGTATAATATACTGCTTGGTACTACTCATGATGCTACACACAGTCAAATAAACAAATAACACAGCTTCAAAAAACCCCCATTTCATTATGCCCTTTAATAAGTGATTATTCATGCCAACCAATATTTTTTACTGCAGGTCAGCAAGAGAATGAAATTATCATCAACAAAAAGTTGCGGGCTGTGATGAGCAAATATGTATGTCTCCAATGTTGCCTCTACCTAATCCACCCCTGACAGAAGGAATAGAACAGAAGTCTTTATTGCTACAGCATTGGACAGGTGAGAACTGGTAAGGGCACAGGCCATTTAGATAAAGCCCATTGTACTTTGGTAGTCAGCATCCAGCCATGAATGATAATTTGCCAAGCAAATTACTCAGAATTCTGTAGACAGAGCATCTGCACGAACTGTTTGATGTCTCTTGTTAGAATCCTGATAACCATATATTTATTACCCTCTGTAGTATTATGTTTAATAAATTAATTTAAAAACTGTATAATACCAATGACCATCAAACAAACTCAAAGGGAAGAGCCCATGGAAACACTAGATGGCAATTGAACAGCTGAAACTGATTTACTTATTAACAATACTACAGTAGTTTAATATAGTAACATTTTATTAATGTAATATTAAAATTAATTGAAATTCTGTAAGTTATATTTATGTTAAGCCTCATATTTTGTCAATACTTATTTAATAATTATTTGTTGCATCACAGTTTACAACCAGCTACTTCAAAATATTTTTTTAGTCTGAAATTCATAAAAATCACCTTTTAAAAATGCAAATTGGTGGCCATGATTTAATTTTTGAAGAAGGCTGCAAACCGAAAACCGAATTGTTATTATTGTACTAAAATAAATTTTATATACGATGTATTTTTGGACTTCGTTTTCAGTGGGAAGTTGACCGACTTGCTAAGTTAACTGGTTGTCAATTTTCTAGTATGTTTCGTACTCAGAATACAACACATGTTATCATAAAAACAGGTGAGTTTAGAATAAAAATCATTTTATTCGTTGCAAAATGTTTAAAATATTGGAGTTTAAATTTTAAAAGGTTCTGTGAAATTGGATTCAAATTTCAGAATCATAATCATATTTATTGTCATTATAATTTTCATTGTTTTAGTCAATGATAAATTTATTCCATCCCCATATTATTGTCATGGTCATCAATAATGTATGGCAGATGTCCCAATATAGTAATATTCACTTTGTTGCACAACTGATGGTCGCTTTGATAAATTTAACATTCCTTTTGCAGTGTTTCGAAATATAAAAACATCAATTAAAAAAATCAATAACTTTTAAACACATTTATTCCCTTGTTCTATGCATACTACTGTAATCAGAAAATATCACAATAAATCAAATAATGTGCTTTCATAGGCCTAAACAATTTTTTTCTTTTTATGATCAGAGAAGAAAATGTTCCTAGACGGCCATAGAGCGGTAGTCACTGAATATTTCAAGGATGCAATAATATGTGGCGTGGCACCAAAAATTCAAACGTGTAAAGTGCAAACAAAAATTCCCATATTGAATACTCGCACTTGATAGTTGTGGTTGCTGAGCGAAAAAGGAAGTTAAGGAAAATATCTAAATGACAAAAATAATCCAAAATCTATGGTGTTGGTGCGTTTGACATCTAAGAAACTCTCTATGCTAAACATTTTATCATCAATTCTATTGTAAGCGTTCATGACTGGTCGAACAGTTTTTTTATAGGAATCTAAATTGTGCATCGTAGATTAGTTTTACTACATTCAAGTATGATAATGTTTGGTCATAAATTACTCCTTCATCATGGAGAGACAAGGCAACATCGATATTGGTGCGTAATTTTGTATGTTATTATGTTCCCCTTTACAAATAGATGTTTTTTGCTATTTTTAGCTCGCATTGAAATATACCAGTCACCAGTGTAACATTTATAATGTGGGATAGGTTTTGAGAGAATATCAGAATAGAGTTTTATATATTGTGCACCTATATCATAATGTCCTGCAGATTTGATGATGTTTAGTTTATCAATATATTTCTTTATATCTGTCTCTGACACAGGTTTTATCATGGAGGTATAAAATTTTGTATACCTCCATGGTTTTACAAACATAGATTAACATTGATTATTTTGACAGAAATACAGTTAGTACTATATTAGTTTGTTCCTTATTTTAAGTAATCTTTTGCCTATGTTAACAAATATATCGTTAAAGCCTCAGCTTTTGGTGTACTGCATAATATATTTGTTTCATTAGACCAAAAAAAATAAATGTTCTTTCTCTGGTCCGCGCGCGTCGATTTAGACCATACGCGTCAATTTTTTTAAATTTTTTACCGGACATACAACATCGCCACCTATCCTGAATTTTGGGGTGCAGCTTATCCATTCTAGGTTTGTCCATTGCTAGCCCAACTAATTAACCTAGGGTAGGACCGGTTTGTATTGTAGGCCTAGTATTTGTAATTATACTCACTACAGTGCATGCTGTACTAGGATACTAAATCATTCATTCATAAACAATTTTGAAACACGCTGTTCGAAAACTGCCAAACTACTTTTCGCGAATTTGGTCCTGGGGTAATTTACGAGTGTCGCAACAAAACACACGTGGGCTGGTTGTTGAAACTTGCTGTTCAACATTCTGGGTTCCCGGTGGCTTGTACCATTATAGAGAGAATGATTCGCTAAAATTGCAGAATAAAAACTTGTGAAATTAATTTATGCTATAAAAAGTTTTCTTGAAGTTGTAATAATTATTTTACTTGAATTTGACTTTAGAAAGGCATTCGTCATCTGCGCATGCGTAAACTTTGTATTGCACGATATTTTCTCCACTTTCTGTTTTTGTTTATAAAACCTGGTGTGTGATGAGTGCATGCTTCGCACGATGGGCTGTGAAATGACTTAGGCCTAGAATTACCAATACATTAAGCTTAATACGACTGTTATTAGTCACCATAATAATAGAATGATTGTTTAAAATAGATAAACATACTCAATAAGTATTTTATTTTCCTAGATTTTATTAAACTAAACTGATGTTGAAATTTTTAACGTAGCGCGACCGTCTAGCATGAAATGGGGATTTCCCTAGAGCAGGAATACATTGTTTCATTGCGGTAGCCTGAAGTTTACACGGATGGTGGGATCATCGCCCGTCGGATTTTTTCAAAGCGTACCCATTAATGCTGATAATGATGATGAATTAAGATGGGGTTCACTTGGCAAATGAAGCGAAATCGAGGATGTGGAATGTGGAAGGACAACAATATTTAGCATTAGCAGAACATAAAAAAGATACTAAAAACACCTTTTCTGTACTTTCCCTGCTTTTCAAAAAAAAAAAGAATAGAAAAAAAAAACCGCATCACCGCATCAATTCTGTAACTTTGGTCTGACCAGAACCAGAACATTTATTTTTTTTGGCCTTATATAATTCTTTTGGGATATAATGTTCCATTGCCATGACAATTGGATAGTTGTCATTGTTAAATTGGTTTAATATAGTTCGACGTGAACCAGGCTATTGATTACAGTAGCTTATAATGAAGTTGATTTCATAGAAGCAATAAAAAAAAATTTTAAAACAGTTATAATAAATACTGACTAACTAAAATTTTGTTTCTTTCACTCAACAGATTAAATAATCTGATTTGATCCCATTAATAGTTACATTATTTTGTCATTTGCTGTATCTCCCTTAGCATGCTGCATACTTTTTAGCAGTACATGTTTATTTTATTTATTTTTTTTTTTTGTAGGTGACTTTTTGTTTTTAAACACTTTCTGTCAATTTAGAAAAAAATGTTTCCTAGTATACCTTGGAATTTGTTTTGTTTTTAGAATAATATTTATAATAGATACATGTAAATCATGCAGCTTAGGGGCTAAACCCCCAATGGGATTGGTTATAGCCTACAACTCACCTAACCAGGCATCATGGGCACAATATTTCCACTTTTTGACTAAAGTATATTAGAAACTCACTAAGAGTGCCAAATAAGCCATGATGCTTTAGGTGCAGGTAAATATGTACTTTTTCATATGCCCTACATTGTCCTCATGGTATCATAATCATCGTTAGCGTCGTCGTATTTATCGGGTGTGTCATCTTCACTGCGATGCATCACAAATCAAATAAATTCCTCTTTGTCGACATCGGTATCATCATCGCAAGCGCTTTAAGGGCTTTGTATTGTACTAGTATTGTTTTCAAAACAATATTTTAGGACATTTTATTCGAGAAAAAGCCCCAATTGAATGAGCTATTACAAAAAGATTTAAAACCCAATGACTGTTAGAAGCGGAGAAAATGGGATTCAAACACAGTGGTTATAAATGAATGGTGCACCAGTGCTTCTATGGCCTGCTAAGGGTAACAATCATGATTGTGTTCTAAACATCACCAGAAACCGCTCTCGCTGAGTAAAGTAAGAGCAAGGTCATATGGTCAGTACCAGCTAATCATCTAGAATTGTTTGACAGTTGAATTACAGTATTACTACAAAAAAATTTTTAAATGAGAAAGTTTGTATAAGTTGCATATTTTAGCAATGGTTTTAGTATAAAGCCATGTCATGACATTGAAAAGATGTATAGAAATATTACTGTCGATACCACTATGGTACTCTTGAATAACAGAATGTTACAAATTATACAAGAACAAAGTATAAGGGTACATTATTATAAGAGAGAATATGTACAACTTTCCTACAAATTATTAGAGTATGATATTATCAAAGAAACATGGATGAATAAAATTATTAAAAAAGAGTAAAAACTTGATTGTATTGTATCTGGTTTGAATATCATCTTAAATACATAATTTTGTATACTGTATGATAGGCCTAAGCTTATATCTTATAAGTTCTGCACCTGCCAAGTTAAAAAAAGAATTAAAGGAGTTTATCCATAACATAAGCCTAATAGTGTCTCTTCGAGATTTTATTTATTATAAATTTGGCATGTTATACAGAATACAAAAACACAAACATGAAGTGCAAAAAGACAGGTTAGCGGCATGCCAAGGGAGAATAATGGGCTAAAGCCCAACATCAGGGTAAATTCTCTCTAAACTGCTAACCTGTAAAAGGACAATGAAAAATAAGCAGGGGTCTAAATATTAAGATGTTTTACATTTTATAATGAGAGATGCTGTCCTGTGGGTTAAAATATTCAAGATGTATTTTCATTGAGAGTGAATCATTTAGTTGTGTGTAATAGCTTTACACTTATTTGTAGCTTTGTATAACATGTCAGCCTCGAATATATACCCTGTCTCTTATACACATCTAGATGGGGATAAGAGACAGCACTAAGAGTGCCAAATAAGCCATGAA